ATCTCTCTTACAAGCAAGATGCTGACTTCTAAATAAACCTCCAAAACCACAACATGACAGTCAGGAGACACAAGAAGACATTAGAACTTTCAGACCCAGAAAGTTCCTACTGAGGATTTCCCCAGGGCAAAAAGACTAGATTCTTCAGCCATAGCTAAATTTCCTTCACCTCTGATGCAGCAAAAAGATAAGCCTTCTTTCTGGGGAAAAATATTCTGATAGGCCTCCAGAGGGCATCAAAGAGTAATGAATTCATCCTTTCTTTTGAACCAGTAGCTGCAAAGGGCTGCTTGCGAACCATTTCCTTTCTTCCTCCCAGTAGCAGCTTTTCTAACCTAGACATCTTTTATGACATTGTAATTCCATGTTTTTTTTTAAAGGAGCAGAATGTCATTGTCAGCAGCCTTACTCACTGATGATTATGAATGACCCCTGATAGTTTGGACAATGGGGTACAGTGGAGCTAGAAAAGGGAGTTAAATGCTAGGGAAAGGGCTTCTTCATGGAGTGTGTATGGTGGGGGAGGGGGGGAGATTAGCCTCAGACTGGAAAGTTCAAGAAGCTTGTAGTGTGTTGAAGTTAGATGTTGCATCAGAGTGAAGAACCTGTAATCATCTACACCGTGCCTATCCTTGATTCATTGGGAGGGCAGGAAAAATTTGTAAGTCGTGCTATTTTTTGCCTTTCAAGATTATTAGTCTGGGTGATAAGCTTTACTTATCCTCCATAGTTAGAAGCCATCTGGGAGCAGGGACCTCTGTGGAGGAAATTCTTCGAAGGGATAGTACAAAAAATATTAAAAGCCAACTTTGCCCCCAAACAATCTCAGAATGGCTCACAATTGTCCTGATTACAGTCTTCGTAGGAATGGCCAGACCAATCTGTTCCCCCAATCCAAGAAGGGAGCACAGAAATTGCATCTTGACCAGCAGCACCTCTTCACTCTCTGCTTCTAGCTTTTACTATGCAGTCTTTGTTCTTTAGGAAGAAAAAAGTAGATGAAAAGTCTGCATGCTTTATGCTGCTTTTACAAGCAAGGGAGGTGGTGGAAGTGGAGCCCCATGGAACTGGTTCAACAGTGGGCAGTTTGCCCATTTAACCCTGACTGCAAAATGGAAATATTTTCATTTGAATTTCTAGGTAATGAATCTGCCCTTTTTCAGAAATAATATTGTAAAAATTGGAGCCAGAATGTGGATTGCTGCAGCAGCATAAACAGTACCAAAGCCCCATGGAGCAGTGTCGTAAATTATATAATTCCCCATCTTCTGAGCAAGTAGGAGGCTTAAGCTGTCTTTGACACCTCCACCCATCAGACCAAGATGGAACCTGCTGTCAGGATCTATCTTGCACTTTGTATAGCCTGTTAAGAAAAAGCAATACTTTCAAATCAAGGATTAGCATTCTTCCAAGCTAGTGCATGCTGGATATTCGTGTGGAAGCTAAAATGGTTTTTAAACAGAGTTGCTCAGAGCATTTGTGGCAAGCTAATCTTCACAAGATCATATAATGTGCATGCTGTCCACTAGGGAGAATAAAAGGGATAACATAATAGGAAGTTTTAGGAAATAAATGAACTTATACAGCAAGGATATTTCAACCTTCCTCTTTACTTCACAGAAATTCACAATTGTACTGCATTGTCAGGTTCTCAGTGTTGACACATTAATATGCAGTCTCTTTATGTGATGTCATAGTGAGGTGAAAGCTTCTGAGGGAATTTCGATCTACCTAAAAACAGTAAAACACATTCCCCCCCTCAAGATTAAAGTATATGGATATGTCAGTATGAAATAGACATCTCTGTAGATACCGTAATTGTGCTCTTAATCACAGCATACCAGCAAACTATTAAAAAGGCGTGAAGACAGACAGTCATTGGCCTTATCTCAGAGGCATCACAAACATCCCAACACACCATATTGATGTGTGTTGATGTATATCTCTACTTGTCCTCATATAGTCAGAATCAAGCAATTTATGAAGTTTTACAGCTTGATTTTTGTACCATGAAAAGTTGATTTCATGGCCTGAATAGTTATCTGAACACAAACAAGATTGCAGTGTGGGTGACATTGTGTATGTGGTGTTGTGTACTTGAAAGAGAAATCTAATTGCATAGTTGTGTGATGTAGTTACTGTTTGAAATATGACTGCTTTGAAGCTTTAGGGCTTTTCAGAACCATTGCTTTCTGTGGTGCTTGTTTGTCTCGAGAGCAAAACAGTTGAGCAAACTGAGGTAACAGGGTAAAAGCCAACAAAGGTATATTTAATATGGGTGGAGCTTTCCCAGTTCATGCACAGCCACCAAGCAATGAACTGGTTAGGCTGAACTTTCAAGGATTACTCTACATCTCTTAGTTGGTTACCTCACAGTGACTTGCTATGTTTTTTTAAAATGTGCAGATGCCAGCATACCTCTCTTGGTATGTGGCACCACTAATTTTCTTATTAGCAATTTTCATGTACTCCGTTCCATGTACATAAACAATACAAGATTTTTCTGTATTATGATAGTTGCTGACAATACTGAATGAACTGTGTGTTCCTACAGGTACACGTCAAATCGGTGGAATTTGTTTCTTGAATGACAAAAAGGAACCTTTTAAACACCAAATGTCTCTTTTTATCTATAAAGCTAATGTTAAAAATAAAACTGGAGGGAAGATGTTTTGTTTCTGAGTAATCAACTATTCATATTATGCAGCTTATTGTCCTTTGTTAGTTCATTTGTTTAAATCAGTTGCTGAATTAGGCTGGGAGCTGTAGGCTTCAGCAGCAACAAAAGGATTCCAGATTCTCGATCGTTGCTGTCTTCTACTCCAATACTTATTCTGCACAAGTATTATTTCTTGTTATGTTTAACTGGCTTGATTTGGAAGGGGTAGAAAGAAGTAACAGCTACTAACCTAATACCAGGGATACAATCATACTACGTGTCTGGGCCAATGTTCAAGACAGATCCCTGTTTCTCAAGAGAATTTCCAGTATCATTCACCTGCTCAAGATCATTTCTGTCAGTCAATTGCTCTTTCAAAGCAGTCAGAAAATAAGTCAATGGATCCATACTGTATAGTGCTCCAAAGCACAGAGACATTCTCATTCCAAAGGCACTAATGATCAAGACGACATAGCCATCTATCTCTGTCATGTTAGTTTTTGAACGACTGCCAAAATACATACCATGAGGTATGACTGCTGCAGCAACTCTTATCTTACATTGATGGATTGCAGTATCTGACTGGCAAAGCAAAGAAAGAGGGCCTGAGTTGTCTGCTATAGCAAAGAAAACACTGTAGATCCCTTGAGGTGTACCTCTTTCATTTGAAGTAGCTTGGAACAAGGAATCTTGAACATCAGGAAGACAAGATGAAGCACTCCAATCTGTTTTTTTTTTTTTAAATATCCATTGAAATTAATCACAAATGGCTTTCTAAAAGACCATTTGTTTAAAAACTCTTTTCATATAAAATGTATGCATTGTCTTCTCTAAAGATTTAATCTCAGAATAAGATACCTTGATGAAAAGATTTCAGAAATATATTTTTCATCCCGTGGACAATAATTGACTTGAGATTTTGAAGATGTTAAACACATTAGTATGAACAAGCATGATACAGCATCATCATGCAGATGGAGGGAATGGTAAATGTTAATGACATTATCACTTGTAAAAGACTATACTATGTACTTTTAAGGAAATAAGCCCCTTTAAGAACAGTGGAATTTACTACCTCATAAACACATGGAAGACTGATGTTAAGCTTCAATCCTATACAAATCTACCTGGAAGTAAATCTTATTGAACTTCCTGGCAGTTTCTTCCAAGTAAACCTGCATGACTGCATCAATGTTTGCAAATAATTCAGGGGAAGTCTAGCATCATGTACCTTCTCTATTTTAAAGACTAATCATCAAGTCTCCACAGCCTTTAAATGTTAAAAGGAACAGGCACAATGGGTTAGGTGGCAAAGTGAATTTTACAAAACTAGAATTAGCACCGATCTCTGTTCCAAAACATCTTTATTGTACCAAGAAAAAGAAAACCCTTTATAAACAAGAGTGTTGAAATATACAGATTAAGTTACTAGTCTTATTAACAAAATAAAGCTCTATCTATATGTACAGACTTTTTAAAACAAAACAAAAATAAAGCAGCAGCCAGTTGCTAGAGCGCAGTGGAAAGGGATAGGATTATGAAAAACTGAAGGAATGGGAAACAACATAATGGATCAAAGCCATTCATCTATCCTGATGCTCTCCAGATGTTAGACTATAACTCCATGATGCTTGCCCAAAATGCCCATTAAGATGTTGGAAGTGATGGGAGTTGTAATCTAACAGATCTAGAGGTCACTGGGATTAAAAAAAAAAAAAAGCAAGTGTAACACATTCTCATGTTGCATATTACACATGAACTAAGTAATCCACTTCCTCTCAGAAGATATAATTGCATTTTCCTCTTTTCAAAGTTAGAATAAAGGAAAATAAATTGGACAGGTGCAAGTAGTTTTGACTTATTTAAGCTAGTTAGGGACATAAGTCATACATAATGTGACAAAATGATAAAAGCTGTCATAAAAGAATGCCAGACAAGTTTTGTTTCTCATAAACAAAAATAGAACTCCAGATTCTATCCAGATACACCTCAGGTGCGGTGTCTTACAGCGACACTAAACTGTGATGACACTACATAGACTAAGATCAAATTTCAAAGTGACAACTGTTCTATTGCAAGAAAAATCATGGTTAGCATGAAACTTCTGTCAACTTCAGATTTGCATTATGTTTTGGCTGACATGTGAAGGACCACACTCCTAAAGATGGTGAGGTCAAATTCAGGGGTTTGTAAGGAATGAAATGGGTGCATAAATCCTCTGTAAAATGTTAAGGTATGTACCTCATTCTTAATCCCAGTTATCAATAATGCAAAAAAGTGGTATTTTGCCATATCTACTTGTACTAGAGTACAAAAAAGATGCTACTGGTTTTTTTTTTTCCTAATATTAGACTAAGGGTGAATCCAAATAGCGTGTATGGTATTCTCAATCCTTACTTTTCTGCCATGATAAATGGGCTTGTCATTTACAATCTCTGCCTTCGCACATAGTATTATGCTTCATCTTGCAATGGGCATGATACAATGATGTGGGCAATGTTAAATTTCTTCCATGATCTCATATCTGGTCTCAAATTATGGAGATCAGTGTGTTATATTAAAAAACTTGGTCACCCTAACATAAAAAGGAGACCTTGTCAAAAAATGAAGAATAACATGTTTACTTTAAGAACTCCCAATTTAGTTTCTCAGTGATGTTACAATTTCTGAAAATTAGTAAATAAGATTCCATGCTGAGATTTAAATCCAATGGAAGTGTACAAAAATATTTAAAGGACTATCTAAAAGGGACAAGGGCAAAAAATGTATGCAAATGTACATAATTCAAACATCGGAGACATAACTGTGTATGTGTATATCATGACACTGTACATCCTCTGTGCCTCTCTCATCTCTGTTCTTTCCATGTGCTGAAGTAGTCACTGGTGTATCATTAACCAAGAACACTTAGCTAATTTAAACCAGGGCAAGACTGCTGCTTTCACGAATGCCACTAAAGGATAAAGAGTAAGAAGAAGATGAAAGAAGCCACTCAAATACATTATACACTCAATTTGGATGATTTGAGCATGATAAGCAAACAAGTACTTATACTGAAAACTATGAGTGTTGAATTCAATGTAAGGAAAACATGAATTTACAAATATACTGAAGCCTACCAGAGGCTCAATAAGCCAGAATGATGAAAGTGGACAAACCCCTTGGAAGTTGCTGAATTATAACATCATCTTCCTCATGAACCGTAACTCGGAACAACTAGAAGGCTGTTCCCTAGACAGGTTCCCTATCGTGTATTACAGCATCATTAGACTAATTCAATAAAACTATCCATTTAAAAGAATTCCTACTCCTTTACAGAAGATGCTTCAGAACAGTTTTTCCAAGAAGGTGCCTTTCACATGGTGCCTATATGTTGGGTTATAATTCCCATTATGCACTTTTGGTGTTCTAGTGGGTGGGCATGAAAGAGCTATTACCCTTGTAGGAAAACAATTTTTGAAAGATTGCCTCAGAAACTTCACATTTTATCCCTTAAACATCAAGTCAGCTTTCTATTGTTGCAGGGCGTCCTCTTCTCCTTGTGTACTGAGCGTTGGCAAGCGAACAAGGGTAGGAGGGAAACAGGCCATGGCTTAATTTATAAGTTGGGCCAAGGCTGCCAAGGGTAAAGAGGGCCCTTCGAGACCTCAGTTGCTATTCATTCAAGTCCAGAGCTAAAAATGGCTCCATGGGAATTTATTGGCAGGCCCAGTGGGAATTGAACAAAACAAACACAGGACAAAGTGAAGTTGGAGTTGAGGAAAAGGCAGAACTAGTTGAAATCCAGAATGAAGGGGGAATAAGTGTTCCACCCAGATGTTTCATTTCTGGAAAGTGAAAAGACTCCCCAAATGTTGATTAAGTGGTAGTGATTGAGTGGCTAGTAAAAGCCGATGCAGCTGGCCAGGTTGTAAACAGGTGAGGTCTCTGTTTGGCTATTGGTAAAGTAAGCTTTTATACCAACTTTATGGAGAAAGGAGAAAAAAGAGGAAATGAACGAAAGACATAATTACTACCCAGCCACAGAGGATTTGCCCCTAACTCCAACACAACTGAACACTACACAAAAGATAGACACAGTTGCGATTGAAAGGAGGAAGCTTTTTCTAGTCAAATTTTCATTTCTGAGAATATAACACTTAATACGGCGCTGCTAAGAAGATGGGTTCAACGATTATAGATTCTGAAATATGCGGCTCGATATTTCAATTCTCATTCTTCATCCCTTAATGACTCCATAATAACTTTGTTCCCTTAACTTCAGTGAAGATTTGTGATATCCTTAACAGGAATTCTGACTTTAGTAGGAAAAAAATACCAGATTTGTTACAAGATTCATAGTCAACTCGTATTCAATTTCCTTGGGGTAAATTCAGCAGGTCAAAGACAAAATTCCTCCCTTTCCACAGAAGATAAATGGATGGGAAATAAACTCTACCAATATCACAGATGGTGGCATAAAGAATTGTTCCTCTGCTCCATGTCTGTTTCCGCTTTAACAAGCTCCCCCCTCGTTTCTTCCAATGCCATTAACTGTTCCAAGTTAGAAAGAGGACAAAGGCTTGTCCATATTTTCTATACTTGCTTCTTGTGACATTAGTCTGTGAGAACCACTAGCTCGCCATCACTCTTCTCTTCGCCCTCAGAATCCTCATCTTCACTGTAGTGGTACATCTCCCCATCAGGCATTGAATGACTGTCCTCTGCCCCATCCCCTTCTTCTGGCTTCAGACTACATGTGTTTACTATGACTGGCATGTTTGGTTCCATGCTATGGGACAAGTAGTGATCCATCAGTGGTGGAGCTAGCTGAATCCCAACTGATCGCTGGTACACGAGATCCGAAGAGGAAGGTAGCATCTGGCTGCTTTGGGGCCTAGGGAAGACATTATAATATATCACAAAAATTATGCCATCTTACATTCTGTTCCTCCCCCACCTCCAACTCTGCATTCATAACATTATTACTGCACTTCCCATCATGGAAACAGATAAGCAAGAATAAAGAAGTTGTGATCTTTTACTGTGAAGCTGTGATCTATTGGTCATGAACTGAAGCTACTTGCAACTGCAGTTTAGTAGTATCTTATGGGTTATCAGTTCCTTATTCCTAAGAAAAAACAATGCACTGGTCAAGTGTTTGTACAATACTGGTCTCTCTGGAATAAGATCAGATCAACTGTCTTCTAGGAACCTTCTAAAAGCAAACATTGCTGGACCTTTCCTACCTTCTTCATATAAGCTTTCAGAGCTGCCTGATTTCACCTAAGTGCTAATCATGTTCTTATATGATCCAGCAAAATATTTAATTGTGTCTTTGATCCTTTCAGTCGGCAAGGCTACAAGACACACAAAGACCATAAACTGGGTTAGCTCTTCGTAAGGTCAGGGCAAATAAGCCCAGGAAGACTATGCAGGTTACAATTAATGATGAATCAGGAACCTGAACCTTTTAAAACTATTGCTGCCTTGCAAAAGGTGGTCGGTGCGGTTCCCTTGAAAGAGGTGAATTTCAAACATAGGAACCTGCTGGCTCAGAAAGCTGTGCTCAGGAGGAACAGGGAAAAGGGGCAGGAAGCCTCACGCAATCAGGTAGCCCTGCCTGGCGTCCTGGCGCCGATTCCTCATCAGTGCCTTGTACTCGCCAACACGAAGCCGCTTCCCTTCCACAATGCAGGTGCGTTTGGGGCGGGGCTTGTACTTGTAATTGGGATACTTCTCTAAATGCTGGCGACTCAGCCGTGCTTGCTCTTCATAATAAGGCTGCTTCTCCTGATTGGACATGGATTTCCATCGGGATCCTATAGAAACAGAGAGCAATGAAAGGATGATTTCATTTACCTTTTTCATTCTTCCTCTACTGTATGGTTCTTCTCAGTCTTATGATACGCCAGAATACTGCTTCCTAACAAATGAACTTAGGAGAAGGAAGAACAGGGACATACAAAAGTTGACCACTTTTCACTTTTAAGGTGAAAAACACCTCCATGTCTATAATAATTCCCCCCAAATAGCCAATACGAAACAAATAGGGCATCTTTAATAACAGAGTTTGAGACATAAAACAAGGATGGGCAACCTTTAGATAACCAGAAACCAAGCAACAACAGTAATAACTTCTTTTTCTTTGAATGGCAATGAGCGGATGAAGAAGCAAATTGGCTACAAACATTACCAAGGCTTTCTAAGTTTTCAAAGGTTGGGGAATTATTCCCCCCCCCCTTTGTTTCTGAAATGCATTCAGCCTACTCTGAGACACGTACATTTTTTCTTTTGGTTTTGCTAATTTTTGTAATCAGAGGGTCCTGGGGGGTTGGTATTATAAGCAACAGCTTAATCCCTTTGAAAGATAAATTATATGAAGAGTTAATGTAAACTGCTTCTTTAATCAGATACAGTTCTAAAGGTTATCACACAGCTCTGCATTTATCTTTTATTACCATTCAGGCAAAAAGAACTTTTTCTACAGACTGCTTTATGTCTAAGAAACATAGGGGAATTCTACACGAGCAAGGCAAGTACTGAAGATTATCTGGACGATCATATCACAAAGGAACTAGGAGCTCAAGAAAACATCTGTATCACCTATCTAGAAATGTAAACTGAGATATTAAGCAAGCCATACAATGTAGTTCTAATGGATGTTCTGGGTCTTGAGGATTACAGGGTATAAGATACATGTAGCCTGCAAATTACAACTACAATTGAGCCCAACGTTTCTGTTGCTAAGCAAGATAGTTTTTAAGTGAATTTTGCCCCATTTTATGACCTTTCTTGCCAAGGCTGTTAACAGAATCATTGCAGTTGTTCAGTTAGTAATACAGTCGTTCAATGAATCTGGCCTCCCCATTGACTTTGCTTGTCAGAAGGTTATAAAAGGTGATCACATGATCCCTGGACACTGCAACCATCATAATTACATGCCAGTTGCCAAGCATCTTAATTTTGATCACATGACCACAGGGAGCTGCAGCAGTCATAAATGTGAAAAACAGTTATAAATTACTTTTTTTAGTCACTACCTGTATGCGATCCTCAGTTTGGCAAAAACTAGACTGGGATTACTCAGTTTCAAAATGAAAACAAATCTCAAAACAAAATGCCGATTTCCTTTCTTTCTCAGAAGGCAGAATAATTTTCTCACAAAGTGTAATTCATGGAAATGGAGGCTAGGGTCACAGATTTATCCAGATGGGTCCTGTTTATTTAGGAATAAAAAATTTGATTTTTAGATTTGTGAACCACTTCACTATGAAGATCTAGGTGGTGCAAAATTAAAACCAAAAACAAACCAAAAATAATGCAGTAAAAAATAAACCGTAAAGAAGAATGAAAAATAATGGCATGGATTTTCCTCTAGCTCAATGTTGGCTACTTTGTGTGGATTTCAACTCCCAGAATTCCTCAGCCACCAGCATAAAGCATGGTGTTGAACTCCACACATCTTAAAGTTGCCAAGTTTTGAAAAACACTGCTCTAGATGCTTGATTACCAATGGCCTTCTAGAAAAGCCAGATTCTAACTATCTCCAAAAGGCCCTAAGAGAGGGAGGAATTCTTGCTTAGCCCCTGAAGCACAGGTATATTAACCTGTGTACATAATTATTTAATCAGCATTTAACTGTACACCAACATAAAGGCCGTGTTATTACATCATGTGGGAAAAGTGTCATTTCTGAAGATGCACTATTGTCAAACTGCAAGAGAATCCATTTATTTAATGAGACCTTTCACATTTTTCAAATATTGTATTGACTGATTTGTGCTGAGTTATATGACATCAGGTAAATGGTAAAGTAAAAGGCAGAGAAGTACAGCTCTTAGTGCTTCTCTCTTATAAATGGGAAGCTCCATGACCATGGCTACCATTTATTGCTAACTAAAACTCTTCTGTCCTGCTGACCTTTTCTGTCACCTTCCTACAGGGCTCGTTGAATTCTTTCAAGCCCAAGGTATGAGGAACAGGTGGAACAGCTAAAATAGGCTGGCCTTGTGTGTGACAGGAATTCCCTGGGTTGTGTGACCTTTACTGTCATGCCCACCAGAGAGTTTGTGAAGAATTGAGACTGGAGAGATGAGGAAGGTTTCACCCAAGCAGTTAATGTGGGGAACAAAGTCTAAGAAGTCTATAGCTGCTGGAACTTGAGAAAAAGTTAAGCATAAACTAATTTTCTAGGTCAAAGAAAATCCTAGGATTTCGCATAGGAAAAGATAGGTGTTATTAACATTGTTGGTAAAATTACTTTATTATATTTCAGAGTCAAAATAATTCAAATAACACTGAGCTTTTACAAAATAATCATAATTTAATATAAACTTTCAAAATGAAACATTCAAGACAGGATTCAGCCATATGTAGTTTTCTCTATGTTGTCATTATTGTTTTCCCTTTGTACTTTCTTATCATATGCATTTACTTACATCCAGTTTGTTTTGTTTTTCTAAAGAACAAAACAAAACAAATAAACTCAGAGGCAAACCAACCGGAGTTCCTATTTTTTTCACTTTTAGACAACAAAGTGTCTAAAAATGGAGAAGTCAAAAAGACAGAGTGGATCATATCATTGTCTGCCAGGCGAAGGCAGCATTTCTGAATGTTCCCCTTGAAAAAAAATGCCTTGCTAATTAAAACGAGGAGGAGAGAGGGGGGGAGATCCCCAATTAGAAGCTGTTCCAAGTTATGATGGACAAAAAAGATACTTGCAACCAGGATATGACGTTCCTGAGCCCCCCCCCCATGGTCATGTGATTGCATTTCAGGAGGGGGCACTCAGCAACCCATTTCCAGCTGTTTGTAGTATGCTGTGGTCACATGACCCCCCCACCCGCTAGAAACTGGTATTTACTTTCAGTTTCTGGCAAAAAAAAAAAAACCTGGCTTCACTTAAGGATTGTGGCATTTGCTAATGAACACTACAAAAAATCATTTTAAAAAGTCAGTCTTAGGATGACCTGCTTAATAACTGGCACTATTTACAACCATAATTCTGAGCTCAATTACAGTTACAAGTCGAGGGCTAGCTGTACTTACTGGCTCAGTGCATTCTATCATCTTATTTTTCTTTATCTTCAGAGTACAACGTTACATTCATTAAATATTAGAAATACAAACACAAAACAAATTATCTAATTGTGCCTGAGAAACAGGTAAAACCACCAAGACATTTGCTATTGAGACACAATTTCCTACTGCTCAAAATACATTCCCCTGAAGAAACAAAAGCATAAGCTTCTAATTATGAATCCATCATTGTGGTTATTGTAATACTTAAAACTTTTCAATGGTTTACGCTGATGAGATGCATAGAACCTCAATAATTAAGGAGACTTGGTGTAATCCACAAGCATCTACTGAAACATTACAAGTCCATTCCTAGTAGCATGGATATATTCTTCAGAAACCGCACTACTCTCTCTAAATAACTAACCAGTCTATGCTGAGTCTCAGGGACTTCAGTTAAATATTAGCTTATGTGGTAAGAAGAGGAACTCTGAGTGACGAACTCCTACAACAAGGGAGGATTATTTTTATTTAGCAATGGCAGAATGTAAAGCTGTAATAAGTATTAAATTATAATCTTCTACCTGTATCACGCAAGGAACTTGGAAGAGTATAAAAAAGCAAGGAGTTCGGTATCATCCAGACTTTTTAACAGGGTAGTCCTAAAACTAGGCAGAACGCCCCACTCAATGAATGAATGAATGAAACTTGCTTCTGAGCATCTTGTAAAGTACTGTGCTTAAAGACTATATTTTTGTTCTTTTCCTGCTGAAAACTGAGGAGCAGGATTGGTAAGAACTGTTGACTATCTTCAGTTTATGATGTGGTTAGGTTAAACATGTTTTGCTTCCTGTTGTTTTAATCCAATATACCTTAAAAGCAATGTTTGCCATCCTGATTTTGCTTTTAAATTTTGATTTTTTTAAAAATCCAGTTAATCCATTAGAAGCTGCCATGCTGCAAAACAATTTTAGGCACTAGGTATTTTTTTTTTCATGAGTATTCCAGAGCCCAATCTTCTAGAAAATAAAAAAAATGCTAACTCGCTCAATGTTAGCATATTACTTGGAAATGTGACCACTTATCTAAAAAAAGAGCAAAATGAGTTAGCTGGTGGCATTTCTGGAAGTAATTTTGGGAAGCTACATTTCTTCTGGTAAATCTGATTTTAGCTGTGTCCCCGATGACAGAAATGTGGGGGAGGGAAGAATCTTTTTGGTCCCATCATTTTGTGAGGGTTCCTGCAATATGCTCTCAAAATTCCAAGTGTGTTCACTAGCCTGGTTTGGATTAACTATTCAAAATATACTTACTGAAATACTTTTCAAAGCATATTTTAGTGAAGAGTTCTGGTTTGTTCTCAAAATCAGTATCTTCAGAGACTTGTGTTTATTACAACTCCCATCTCTGAATAATATTCCCCTTGATCAATCTGATATTACTGTTTCATGCAACAGCAGTACATATACTAATATCGCCCTGTGAGATAGGATTTGAATTCATTCGTCTGTTGGGAATATTATTTAGTGGAGCTCATTTTATGCATGAATACAGATGTGTTCCCTTCTTTATTGACTATTCAACTATAAATATGTAGATCATTTCTTGCCCAAAATAGCTTATTGGCTTATTAGTCTGCTCTGACACAGGCTATGCGATCTGATGATGTTGATATTATCAATAACTATCATAATAATCATTGCTCCCACCTTTTGGAACATTCGTCCCCAAAAAGGTGAGGCAGGTGCCCACTCTCCTGGCCTTTCGGAAATGGCTCTGCTTGGGGTCATGGAAGAGCATGCAGCCATGAAGCTGGTAGTACCCTGAAGGCCCTCCTTCTACCTTTTAATTAACATTTTTAACTATCTTGCCTTTTATTTAAATTTTATACACAGCTTTTATATTTTAATATTTTACTTGTATACTGCCTAGAGTTTGATGGAGATGGGCAGTTGTAAATTTGATAAATAATAGCAACAATAACAGTAGTGTCTTCCAAAACTAGTCTACAGGTACCATGGTTGTAAAACCTAATACATTTCATTTGCTTGCAAAACATGATCATATATTTGTGGAGCAAATACCGTAACATATTTGGCAAGTTATTTAATTGTGGCTGTTGCTGCTATTGTTTTGGACTGTACTTGATAAGGTTGTTAAGGGGATAACTACATTACTGGATTATCTGTGCATAGTAACTACAAGGCAATCACTCATAAAGTAACTTGAACTGCTTTGGTCACTACAAAAAAGAGCCCTGCCTAACCATTCTTTATCACAGAATGTATATAACCAAATTGAAATTAGATGATGTTTAGTTGAATGGATAGTTGCAATTTCAAAGGATTTTTAACGTTATTTGTGAACAGGCTCATTTTGGCACATTCAACAAAGTTTGGTTTAGTATGATCTCTGAATTTAACTATTCTTACATTTATTTTCCATTTTCTTTGTGGCCTTAGATACATCTTATGTCTTTATTACATAAGCCTATTTTGTAACAAATCATCCTTTCTTCCTAATTATCATAAATTCTGGAGTTTAGGGAAAGTTATGAGGTATGTTTGTAGATTCTACCAAATTTACCCCTCCGGTTATGACCAAACCCTGAAGTAATAATAACCATTGTTACAAAATTGCCCATTTCAGAACTCAGGCATAATACTAGGCACAGTGATTAGGGGAAAGACTATTCTCTATTTAAAAAATTATTGTAAATTCCAGGTTTTCATACACTAGCTCCTTGAACTGATATTAATAAAGAACTTCCTACTAGCCCAGAGCAAAGAATCTAAGCTTGACATCCTATTCTTAGATAGGGAGCTTTTCCCCTTTTCTCCTAATGACTAACAAAAACTGTCGACAACAAGATGGGTTTGCGGCTCATTCTGATAGGGGGGAAAAGGGCCGCCCTATTGAGCAAAGCGGCTCTGTTTAAGTTGCTATTTGAATTCTGGGGCAAACAATGAATTTAACTTTGTGACTAAGACCTTGTCTAGCTTGCTCTTTAGTCTGAGATTAATAATCATAAAAAAGGTCCACAACTACAACTGTATAAATAGCATCCTGAGAAAAGGTTAGTCTTGGCTTTCTCTTTGATGTGAGCTTGATTTTTTAAAAAAAACCTACATTCAATATCTGTTTTGCATGTGCTGGTGTAAAATCTGAAGAAACAGGCTATCATGATAGACAAAGAGAGAGAACTGGGCTTGGTCCCTTTACTAAAGCACACCACCCAGTATTAAATTGTTGGAAATTACCAATAATTACTTGCCCAAAGGGCAATATGTTTCATAGAAATATCAAAAGATATCAGAAAAAAGAACCGATAAGATACCAATGTACACATCCTTCCTTACCTAGAATCTTACTGATGCTTGAATTGTGCATGTCTGGGAAAGCTTGCAAAATTTTACGTCTTTCATCCTTGGCCCACACCATAAAAGCATTCATGGGGCGCTTTATGTGGTTGTTGTTCCTGGATTCAGGGAAATGTCGTGAGCCTGCCAAGAAAGGACCAAAGAACAGTTCATTGAACTGACCAGACCTATGGGAGTTTGTGAATTCTGGAAATTGCAAATGGGGCTCACACATAGTGGATTTGTCACATCTGCTGTATACAAAAGCTGATTCCCTATCTCATGAGGTTTTGGCAGCATTAAAAAAATCATAATTCAGCTAGTCAACTACAGTTTTCATTTATTAAAGGAGGCTTGATTAGTTTTTCTCTTCAAAATTCAACACTGGTGAAATTTGTGAGAAAAAGAAGAAAATGTCATTACCATCTCCTTCACACGTTAGTAGAGACTCATCCAATCTCTGAAGAGATGACTCGTCCATCTGTTCTTTTCCAGGTGAAGAATCCAAATTGCTATGATCCTGAAAATACAGAGTTTTCTGCATCTTACCAAGGTAAGCAACTTTAAAAGTTACTACAGATAGTCCTCAAAACACAATCATTCATTAGAGACTTATGACTGTTTTTCACACTGAACAACCACTGCTGCATCCCCATGATTATGTGATCAAAATTCCACTTGGCAACTGGCTCATAGTTATGATAGTTGCGGTGTCCTGGGGACATGTGATCACCTTTTGAGAACTTCCGATAAACAAAGTCAATGGGGAAGCCAGATTCACTTTACAACAAGGGTGTCAAACATGATTTCATTGAGGGCTGCATCAGGGTCATGTTTGACTTCGGGGGATTGGGGGGGAGGTATGCCTGGGGTGGGCATGGCCAGCTCAACCTCGCTCTTGGCAAGGATACCTGTGGTGGCCAAGTGCTAAGGTAGGATTTCCCTCAGACCCTCACTCACTCTCATTATAATCTATCTTCCTTCCTTCCTTTTCTTTTTCCTTCCCTCTTCATTCTCCTTTCTTCTTCCTTCCTCTCACATCTTTCCTTCTTTTTCTTTATCTTTCCTCTTTCCTGTTCTCCTTTTCTGCTCCTTCTTGAATGCTCAAATGCAAAAGGGGAAAATTTTTCCTTTTGTTTTGTTTTTGTTTTTGCTAGCCCCCTGCCAGTGAAAATGGAGCCGGGGGGGGGGGGGGCTGTGCAGCCTCCCTGGGCATCATTTTCAGCCACAAAAGCCTTCCGCAGCCCTCTGCCAATGAAAACAGTGCCCCCCTCAACTCCATTTTCAATGACAGAGGCAATGCGGGCTGGTCCTTTCCTGTTTCCAGGGTGGCCCTGCAGGCCAGATATAAGCACTCCATGGGCCAGATCCAGCCTGCGGGCCTTGAGCTTGACAGTCCTGCTTTATAACTATGTTACCAACTTAACACCTGCAGTGATTCACTTAACAACTGTGGCAAGAAAAAATGTAAAATGGGGCAAATTCACTTAATTACTGTCTCAGTAATAGAAATATTGGGCTAAACTGCCTTAAACCTAGATTTTTAAAATAATTATTTTGCCATATGTTAAATTGTCAAAAGAATATGGCTTTATATGATCTTCTAAAATAGGGCCTGTATAGTCCAAATCTGCTGGACAGGGAACAATAAAAGAAAGATTACAGGTAACATTATCTAAACAAAAAGAATCTCTGGAAACAAGGTATTTTATAATTTTTTGTTTATTAAAAAAAGGTTTCAACAAGAAAAAGGAACAATTCAGCTAACATTCTGGATAGTTTTTGTAAATAATACCTTAAAAACAAGAGTCTAGCAAATAAAAATGACTTTTGAATTGCTTTATGGGATATTGTAATAGAACAAGTATTTTATGTAGTTTAAGTTTAGACTTAAAATGTCAGAATATGGAGTTCTTATGCATTAATTTCTATTTATTATGTGCTAACTCAAACTCTCCAATTTTCACTCTCAGTATATAATTATTGTGCTATCACTGAAAGCTCTTCCTTTAATCATTCAAATTATCAGGTAGGCTTCTCCTACAACTTTCACCGGGCCTTACATCAGGAACATAGACTTCTGAAAAATAAAGTTAATAACGATTTCAAAAGACACCTCAACCCCATGATACTGTTGTTTCTACCAGAAATGTTTGGGGGATTAAATCAAACAGAATATAGTCTTGCCAGCTCACCAAATAATTTCTATTTGGTTGATTATGTTCTACAATGGGTATGGGATGGGTTGGGTAAGAATTGGGAAGCTTATACATTTTATCCAATTATTAAATTGTCTGAAATGCTACCCTAATATAAACCATGGCCAATTCATTACTATTCACAACGCAGACAATCGCTCTCAAACACCCAGATACCAGGGTTTTTTTTTTTAAAAAAAAGATGGCTGCTTTCATTAGACTCTGATATGTTTTGTTCTTCAAAATTCTAACCTTCATTCAAGGCTTGTGTCAGAGGGTATTCCTTCCTTTTAAGAAAATCAGTATCACTTACCTTAATATATGGATGATTTGGAGAACCATCTATAGCTCTGCTTTGGTTGTGCAGAAGTTGTTGAGCATCTTGTATTGCTTTAGTTATAGCATCTCCCTCTCCAAGGAACCCTGATATTTTAAAAAATACAACAGGTGATCAACTAATATTTAATGTCTTCATGATGATCACCAGTGCAAAGAAAACTACTAAAACAAAGAACTAACCCTTGGGCTGTCAAACCCAGACTGCAAAAATCCAGTCAACCACTCGATGGCAGCAAAAGGCCATAGGAAATCTCCGAGTTCACTGCCATGACCCAGAATTTTATATCCTGGTTACAACAGCTCTATCCTGCATTTTCCATAAGTATGCCTTGACCACAGCAATTTTCCTCTATAAAGCTTCAAGAGAATTTTCTTTTAGAATCAGTGATTACTTTTTTTCCTAATCAGAAAAATAAATATTTATGGGGCAATCCTGTGATTCCTAGGAAGATGATACATGAGTTCTATGTGAACTTCCACTTACATTACTGGTATGTAAAATCTGCAAGGAGATTTTTCCTGAATGTCAGAGGTGATGTAGACTACTGTGGCTACTGGCAGTGATCCATTGTTACAAAATAGAAAGAAACTGAATTCCAGCCCTGAAACTTTTGTAACTGGCTGCAGATATGAGATTTTCAACACAAAAAAGACTTCAACTCTAATTAACAAAACCTGGAGGGCTCAAGAATTATGACTTTCCTTCTTCCGCATGACCAAAATTGCTGTGCTTGTTATCTTGTGCCTTCAGCTATCATGAAACAGCAGAATATGCATCTCTAACAACAACAAAATATATACTACAATGTCTCTACAAATTCTGCACCACATTAAACTTCAGACTAGATTTATGCTTCTCTTCAAGAGTGCAATACACTTATGTTCTCATTTGGAGTGATTAGGAGTATTCTAAGTATCTGTTGACTTCTTATTAACTCTAGGAGCCTTAAACTTTATAATTTGCATATATTTCAAAATCATGGATATCCCAAAAGATGATCTAACACATTGGATATATTGATTTGGAATATATGAGCACTCCTGCAACATGAAGATCCTTGGTTCACATCTACATCAAATTTGTCTCTCCTGATTTGTAGAAATTCTCCAAGTTTTCCCAGACATATTTGGAGATGTTATGGACTGAATATTTTACATGCGCAGTGTATGCTTCTTCCTCTGAATTGGTAGTTTCTCTTCTCCCTTCAGCACTGGTGAATCCACAAGATAAAAACCCCAAAGAAATATCGAGGAAAGCCAAATTCATCTCTTCCTGAATCTAGGGATGTCAAGAATTCTTTCCCAAAGAAAAATCAAGAGTATAACCTAATTCATAAAGTATTTCGTAACGTTTGCAATGAGAAGTCAAATCAAATAAGCATTTCTCTTTCAGCTCTGAATCAGATGAACAGACCTACCCAAAGGAAGGCTGGGAGGGCTGGTCTGCAACTCTCGAGAAACACCACCGAGGGACTGGCTGCTACTAATCTTTAAATTAGGTGTGCTGGAGGCATTGGGGGGTTCAGAGCCTTTAGACTTTGCTGTTAAGTTGAGTGGCTGTGAAGATTCCTGAAAACAAAATAGAGAAGGAAGATAGAAACATTTTTCTATAAAATTTGGAGATCTAAGGAAAAAAAGACAATTAAGAAGTTTTACCTGGATCTGTAGGTGGCCTGAGCTTGCAGGTCTCTTTAGTGCTGAAGGAGGACTATGAAGCAGCTGCATAGGATATTCCACTGTAGATTGTAAAGAAACAGAAGAATCAGAGATTGTGTACAATGTTAAACATAAACTGAGATCCTTATTATGTCAACAGTGAATCAAGAAGGAATCTGCTGTAAGTACAGTGAAACTCAACCTGGAATAAAGTAAAAGGGCCAAATTTGAGCATCTGTCCCCAAACATGTAAAAACATGTCCCCTTTGTACATTACAGCAACAGGTTTGGGGACACATGTCATCAATGTAATAAAAGTACTGAACTGTTCTATGGTTCCAGACTATTAGAATGAGAGGGGTTTAATTTAAGTGATAACCAACTTTTAATACTAGATTAAAAGGGATCTAAACGCAACTACAACGATAAGACGGAGGTATAGCCAAATATAACTCAGCTTTATTAGAGTTATATTTTATCTTACAGTGAAATATAATATAGAAAACAATACAATAATATTATATGTTATATGGTGAGAGCAAGTTTGGTGTAGTGGTTAAAGTATTAGGCTAGAAAACTGGGAAGTTGTAGGTTGTAGTCTGCCTTAAGCATAAAGCCAGCTGGTTGACCTTGGGTTAGTCACTTTCTCTCAACCCAATAAAGAAGGCAATGGCAAATCATTTCTGAACAACCTTGCCAAGAAAACTGCTGGACGTGTCCAGGCAGTTTTCTGAGAGCTGGACATAATTGAACAATGGGCAAAAAGGAAATATAACAGGGCCGTATCAAAATTCATTACTGTACACTATTTCAAGTTATAATAACAAAATTATTTTATAATATATTATTTTATAATGATTTTAACACACTAATGAAAGGGAAGACCACTGATTTCTGCCCATCACCGTTCAATCTATGTGGAACTCTATCGTTATATGGTATAACATATAACAAAGCCTGCAACAGGTTCCTTCTGCCCCTTCTTATACTCAGTTGAACCAGGCCTTTTTCATTACCTGTGTTCTCTCAGTATAAAGTTTGTTAGGAATATAAGTCACCTAACAGGTATTTGGGTTAGAAATATGTAAACCAGAATAAACATTTTCGTACTATGTCTTTAAGAGATTGCAAAAACTGCAATTGGGTCTGGTTTTTCAAGCGGCCATAAGATGGAGCCAGAAACCTGGATTGTTTTAGTCTGAGTCTCAGAAGAGAGTGTGAGTGTATCTGTTTCCTTCTGTTGGAAAGTATTGCCATTGCTCCATTTTTCCTAATTGACTGATATTCCTGGATTTAATGTAAGTCTGACACTGAACTGTTTTTTGACACTAGACTTTGATATTTGGATTATCCCTGAATTGAAAAACTGACTGATTTACCTGTGAATGATTTTGGATTGCTTGTTTGGACTTTGCTTAACCTTTCTGGAAGTAAAAACCTACATTTACTGTACAGTGTATCTGTGTGCTGTATGTGTATTATTCAAACACTACTCTCAAATACGTCTCCCTGTATGCGCTCATTCTCCTAATGGGGAATTACCTCAACAAAGTTGCTACATATTTAATGGTTTGTGCATTTCTTCTTCAACATGATCTCCATACTACTCTATGCTATCTTTCTTTTTGGCCAGTGAGAATTGTGCTATTGCCACAAAGAGCTTAGGTCAAAAGAATCCGAAGCGTTTGGAAATGTTTCTGTTAATGGGCTACCGTAGTGTTAGGCAGTGGTGGGATCCAAATTTCTTAACAACCGGTTCTGTAAGCATGGCCTAATTTGTGGATGTGGCTTGGTGGTCATGTGACTGGGTGGGCATGGCCAGATGGCCATGTGACTGGCAAACCAAATACAAGTGGTCCTCGCTTAATGGCGGGTTGCTTAGCATGTGTTCTAATTTACGACTGACCTCCCCAGAACTACTTGACCTGTTTTTGGAGTTTTGACAGCCATGCGTGCACACACACACATACACACACACTCTCCCTTCCAACCCTGCTATTCTATGATTCTGTAAGCATCTCCTGCTGGGGGGGTTGGACTAGAAGATGACCTCCAAGATCCCTTCCAGCCCTATATTACTTTGCTGTTTCAGGGTCTTCTGAAGCCAGGTTTGTGTCCTTCCTTCTCCTTTTTTTCTCCCTCCCTCCTTCCCTCCATATATCTATCCATTCATATCTCATTCACTTTCTCCATCCTCCCTCCCTTTTTCTTTCTTTGTCCCTTCCTTCCATCTCCCCCTTTCTTTGTCTATCCCTTTTCTTCTTTTTGCTTCCTTTCTTTTTTCCCCTCTTTTCTCTTTCTTTTCTTTGTGTGTCTCTCTCTTTTTCCCTCTCTCATTCCCTCTTTTTCTCTCTTCCCCTCTCTCTCTCTCTCTCTGGCTCTCTCTCTGGCTCTCTCCCCCCCCTCTCTGTATCTCTCTGTGTGTGTCTCTGCCCCTCTCCCTATCTTCCCCTCTCCCCCTGTGTGTGTGTGTGTCTCAAAGCAGACTGGGCCAAGCCAGCAAACTCTCCTTGGCACTCTTCGCTACTTTTTTCAATTTTTGTTTTTGGAATCCAGACTGGCTGAATGATCGCCAGCCGTGGTAGAAGCATTTCCTTCAGGTGACCCTTCTCCTCCTCCCCCTCCTCTCGCAACTGGTGGCTGTGGCACGGCTGGGAGGGTACACACGCACGGGGAGATCCTCCTCAAGCGAGCAGCCCCCCGCCCCCCAAAGTGGTCGCCCAGGTTAGGGTGGCAGGCAGCGGTGGCAAAAGGTAAGTGTGGGGGGAAAGGCGATCAGCAGTGGCAGCTAGGCGACTGGGCCCGGGAATTTGCAGAGCCTCACTCACCCAGGAAGATCAGGCAGGGCCACAGCAGAAGGCAGGCAGCAATAGCAGGCCTGGCGGGTGGGCAAAAGCAGGCTGCAGTTGATACCACACATGCATGACAATGACTGGGAGGGGAGGAGAGGGGCGGGCAGAGAGGGCAGGGCCAGCCAGTGGTGTGATTTGACAGTTCTCCGAACTGTGCAGAATCATAACAACTGGTTCTAAAGAAACAGACAGAACCGGTAGAATCCCACCTCTGGTATTAGGGATGCTCCTATAGAAGGAGCAGTAGAGAAAAGCACAATCCGATGCTTCTTTTATGTCTGCTACACAAAGGCAGAGTATTTTTCACTGAACAGAGCCTTTTTTCTATTTACCCTTGAGAATTGTTGAAAGGGGGAATGTTAAAACCTGCATGGTTGAACATTTGGCAATACTTTAGAGGAGGAAGCTGTTTGAAACAATCATACTAGTTCTGTATTATGTAACCAAACCCCAGCTATTACATTTGCAGATTGTCTACCTTGATTTTCCTACAAATCCATGTTAATAAACCTCTTAGAAGAAAAGCCCGTTTTGCAGTATTTTTCACACTACCTTCATTTCCAAGATATGTGGAATGGGTTTATCAATGTTGAAATGTAAGGTTTGTGTGGGGGGAAAAAATAAGTTTTAACCATTAAATGCAACATTCTGGCTCTATTTTTACTGACTGAAGCATTAGAGAATTGATTCAACATAGATTCATTTAGTCTCATGGTTTTCAATGGCTGAAACTAATAGAGGATGCCCCCTCTTCCCATTCCAAAGCCACTGTATAAAAGCCTTGGGAAATCCACATCACATTAATCAGAATCCCACTTTTCTTGGCCTTTTCATACCTGGCTTACATGGAATTGGCTGGATAGGAAGTGCCATCTGAGAATCTGGAGGGACAGGAAGAGGGTGGTGGTTGGGAGAAAACGCTGGAATCATAACGTAGGGCATGTTGACCTGCTGAAAAGAGTAAGGGAAGTGGTAGACACAGAAATAGATAGAGGGCATAGGAAACTAACAATGCTACTTGTCCAAGCATATCCACTAGAGGCAGTAACAAAGGGATGTACATCACTTTCTCACTTCTTACCCATATTGCAATATCAAATGTTAGGTACTTAATGTAAATACCCAGACAACATATTTAAGGAAGTGCAAAACTTGTATTACTCCTACTGCAGTGGAAGGAACACTGAAGTTTCTCATCAACTTGAAAAACGTTTTTAGTATGTATTTCTTTGCTAGAAATGGCAAGTAGCCAGAAACGGGGTAAGGGGTGGGAATATGAATTGAAGGAGGACAGGATTGGCCCTTTACTCCCATATCAAGGCTTCAAGCCCAATCACATTTAGTCTGAACTAAATCCTAATGATTTCACTGGCACATGCTTTACTGTAAGGCACTGTAGACCTCAACCTCTTTACATTTTGAAAAGCTGCATTTAATTTATCATTAGTAAGATAATAATTGCTTCTCTGTTAATTTCTGTACATCTAAGGGGAAAAGAATCTACATGTGGTACTATTACTCTTGTCTTGGCATTAAATCTTTTGAATCCAAATTTTTAGATGAATGCCTTCAATTAAGCCACACTTCACTCCTATTACCTAAGAGAAATGAATAACATTGTACCTGGATCTGCTGTTGCAGCAAGTTGATCTTGTGTTGTTGCTGGATAAGTTGTTGTTGTTGCTTGGCAATCTACAAGTAGGAAAGATGAGGTGGAACCAAGATCCATGCTAACTGAACTACATACCTTAGGGCCACGTAGGCACAGTGCTCACTTTTATAAAATAAAGGGAAGGCCACAATCCATGTGGCAAAAACAAGAACAGCTCATGTAAGCAGAACCCTGAATGCATGGATGCAAGTGATAACAAGTCTTGTTTGGAAAAGCAAGACTCTGGTGAAGGAATACCATGTTTCCCCTTTAGATTTCTCATCTATTTCTCCATCATTATTACACAGAATTCCAGTAATGAAACTACCATATTGAATAGCTGTAAGAAAGTAAATAAGCATATATTCGACCTATTAGTACACAAACCTACAAGTTATTGGAGTGAAGTGAAGTAAAACATTGTGCAGATTATATCATAATTCGGCTTGAAAATACCAGCAGTGTAAAGAAAGTTTGATGTCTCAGGCAGCATCCTAATATTAACTTCATCCTAAACCTTAAGCTTTGTGGATTTATTTAAAATTATGGCTTGCTCTCATATGTTAAGAGAAGGTGTAATTGGAGCAACAGCCCTAACCATTCCCTTCACTGTTATTTCTGCATAATAAAACAACAAAACGTTTTGTGAGCATTAACACTTGTTCAATTTACTGTATAGCACTGTAGTTTTCACTCTGAATATGCATATTTAGGATTTTATAGTATCCTTTTTATGTAGACTCTACACCCTGTTGCTTATTGACATACTACAAGACATATAGTTGGCAATTTTTATGTCTTTATCTTTTGCAGCCAGAGGCTACACTTTATTTAATGGAGGGGAAAGTAGTCTTCAAGAGCTGCAGAGAAGGTGGGACATTAGCTTTCAGGCCTTGATTTTTTTGGAGTTGTGTGATGGGAAATTGAGTAAAGCAGGAATATTAAACTAAAAAATATTCCTGATTCATATTGTGAAAAAACCATATTATAACATTAATTTACTGCTAAAAATGAGCAATATTATCTGAGAAGATTCTAAGGCCCACAAAAATGGCCACAGATTAACCATCCCTGATATAAATATTTGTTCTATTTCTAAACTGTTTGTCTTTTCAGGCTGATTTGAGTTAGATACAGACTTATTAACTTATTTAGCTCTATTATATCCTATATATATTGAAGTTCAAGTGCCAATCAGGAAATATTCTAAAGACAAATCTCAATAAGAAGGATAAATATAGACACAGAGTAGTGTTTTAGTACCTACCTGTTCTTGCTGTTGCCTGGCCAGCTCCATCTGTTGTTGCTGCTTCTCAAACAACATAGCAGCCATGTTCTTCTGCTCTGAATGGGCCGTCAGCAGCTGGTCCCTCAGGATGGACAGTTGGTTAATCATGACCAGCAGCTGTAATTCTTTCTCTGCCAAGCTTTCTTGGGTTCCTGGATCAAGCAAAAGAAATAGAGAAGAGATTAATAAGGGAAAGAGGGAAGTAGTGAAATTTTATTCTGAAATATTAAGGTTGTCCTCTTAGCGGGTATCCTACAAGCATCGAAAAATCTAGGGGATTTCCTTTGTAAGTCTAGGACAAAGGAAAACAGGGGAGACCTGCTTTGCAAGCCATAGGTCTGACATAAAGTCATGCAACATGCACTTTACATTTGGAAACCCAAATCCTGGAGAGCATATAGAAAGAGGTGCTCGAGTAGATATAAGATGCTGCAGTCCTACAGGATCCAAACCAGTTTATTTTTTTACTTTTTATTGACAGATAACTGCATTCAAAGATCCACAGTATTATATATCAATTTGTTAAAAGATTAATTCTCACATGGTTGGGACCAATGTGGTTGTGTGAGTAGTTCAGCCTTTCTCATCCTGGTGCCTGGCAGATACTTTGGAATACAACTCCTACATTCTAACTAGCATGTTGGATCAGAATGTGGGGATATGCCTAGAGAGTACAAAGTTGATACAAGTTATATTGTCTCATAATGAGACAATTATGAACCACTTCTTGGATTGAATTATTTTTTTATCCTTTAAAATAAAGCAAAAATATCTGAATTCTGATGGTATGAATTTAAAAATGTCTTTAAAATTCTAATTGAGTTAATTTTCTCTGTTCTGAGCATTAACACATTCACAATTGAGCTAAACCCCTTGCTCACCTTTTACCTCTTTGGAATCCATAGGATTTTTCCCCAGAAGTCTCTCTTTCCATTCACTGGACAGTAACTTCTCAATGGTCGGCATCACTGTTGCAAGAAAATATGACAGCCCCAATAGGTAGGTTTGCAATTGAGAAATATAATAGGTTTTTTTAATATCATAATGCATAATAATAGAAATGAAGACTAGCTTGGCTGGTGATGGATAATACTACAAGGACAGACCAAGATAATCAAGGAAATTGGTGACTTTAATTAAGCATCTGATTAACTTAATTAAGCAGCTGAATGCAAAAACTGGTACGAACATACATTCCCCTGACTCCTGTAAATCTAGTGTTATTTAATTTATAACATTATAGTTACTTCTAATGTAATGGGATTGCGCAAATCATTTAAAAAATATTACACATTTTTCAAGATAGCTATTTTGCAAAAATAATCATTTAAAAATTATCACATATTTTCCAATGTAGCTATTTTCATAAGCAGAAACCAAGAATCCACTCCAAGAAGAAAAATTTATATAAAGTGTATAAGGAGCTATATTTCTCTATGACAAGGGAGTTGTTTGCCTAATGTAACACTATACATCCCATTTGTACAATGTTGCTTTGTTTTGCAACTGGGGGATTTTAACTGGCGATATCATAGGCCGGTGTTGCAATAGTTTTAAATTTTTTAAATGTCACTGCTTACCGTCAAGTCCTTATAGCCTAACCTACAAAAGAAAGCTTCAAAGTGCAAAGAACCGTGCTGACCCCAAAAGTGGGTACATGCCTGTATTAGGCTAAAGCAAAAATCTCTTTTTAAATTTATAGCTGACAGTATAAATATCTGGCAAAAGACAGTGAGAAAATGCTGAAGAAATTTGGATTCCCATCCTGAGATCGTTTACACAAAACATGTAGTGGTGGGATGAGGTGAAGTGGGAAAAGAAGACTGCATGAGAAAGAGGAACATGAACTGTGTCCGGTTTTAATAGTTTTCTTCAGCACCAGGAGCAGACCTTTTGAATCTCAGTAGGACTTAATTGACTATTCAAGATCAAGCCACCCCCAACATACTTTGCATTATAACAGGAATTGCTCACAACAATATATTCTTCTTGGGAATGTCTCCCAGCCCCCCTCTCTTAGTATAAGGATTGAAGCCAAATTCAGAGGGAATAGGGAAGCCCATGATTGTTGCCAGATGATGTCATTGCCTTTATAAATAAAAAAGACATTTCATTCTCACCCCTCCCACCAGCCCAGCTCACAACACTGCCAGAGTCTGAATATATCATGGGCCCCATGATCTCAAAGCAAGTACTCGACTACACAATTATGTCTCTTCCCAGCAAGTAAAAGAAGAAAAGCCCAAAAGAAAACAACCTGTAAATGGATGCGTGTGGTTCTTGGTCTGGATGTGTGTGGGAGGAATATCGCGTCTGTAGAACATCCTTCCTACCTTCTCTTAGATTTTTATTGAAATCCAATTTTTCCTGGTGGCTAAGTGCAGGCTCGAGCACAGGGTTCCTGGAATCTAACGCCTTGTCCACTGGAGATACAGATTCCTGAAAGATAGTGAGCCACTGTCAATCACCAGCACCCTGCAGGAAATTAAAAAGGGAAGGATAACAGATATGCTTATCTTCACAGTCTTCCTTTCAAGCAGGGTTTGTCCAAACAACCTCTAGAGTGTAGTGAAGGAGCTGCAGACCTGGCTGGTCTCTCTCTCCCTCCCTCCCTCCCTCCCTCCCGCCCCCACAAGTGCTTCACTTCCCTAAGTTAAAAGTGATGGGGTCCCTTGGGAGTGACAAGGTATGCTTCATGTACATGTGTCTGAGAGAAGGTGGCCCACCTGTGGGAGAATTGGGGGATCAACAAAGTCACCCAGTGGCAAGGGTGATTTACTGGGGCTGTTGGAGCCAGGTGATGTGCAAGGAGCCTCCCCCTGAGTCAACTTGTAGTGGCTCTTGTTCTTTTCTTCTGTTTTAACGGTGCAGTTCACCATATTCCCAGCTCCATTAAGCTCCAGCTGAGGAGAGACAAGGCTCCTCATGGACATCCTGGATGACAAGGGAAACAAAATCAAAAGATTATGAAAATGTGCAGGAAAAGAAGGGCCATGAATGTCACTCACTTTAAAGAAAGACCAGTGTTCCAAACGTGAAATCAAGCATAACAAGGTTTCAGGCAGGCTCAGAAATGTCTGTTACTTCCATTGAACCTTTTTAGACACATCAACAGAACAGGACTCCAATTTGCACAGAGCGTGAATATGCTAAACTATATATCTCCTTACTAATTAAATCTATCTTCTGTCTTATCTCCAGAATTCCTTGGACTTCTCTACAAAACACAAGAAATTGGTAATTTAGGATCAGAAAGAATGACTGCCCCAGGATCATCCAGTGAACTTTCATGGCTGAGAGTCCATTTAAATCTGGGTTTCCCCAGTTCTACTTCAATACATTCATCAGCAACCTATGCAAACTCTCACACCACTCTTGCTGTACAGGTTGAAATAATAATTAGAATTTCAAAGAACATAAGACAGCCTTCCATTAGGGAAGTTTGTAACAAAGTAGTACCTGTTCTTATATAGGATACTATCCAGACGCTTAACTTTTGGGGTGCATTTAGAAAGCCTCAACTATGCGGTTTCCCATTTATACCTCAATTCCAGATTCTGCTTTGTTCTGAAAAGAGACTTATCCTTTATAACAGGCCACATCTTCATAACAACCATCTTATGACTAGTCCAATTTCTTAAGACAGCCATTTGGAAGAAGAGTTCATGACAATTTATTAGATTTCTAAATGGTCCTGCACATACAAAAATATTGGGGAATCCTGCTGTAGAAGATTACATTGACTGATTTGCCAAAAACAAAGTCAGAATTTGATGAAAAAGTATATTATTAAATCAGGTGCAAAGTTAAATACCCCATACGTATTTTGTGCAGAGCAACAGACATGCAATATTTTTCCTGCACCAAGACAAGAAAATCTTGCTTTGTACCCCTCTGAAGCAAAGGACTATTGTGCAGCCACACAATAATTTTCTAGTTTTAGGAAGACAAAACAGCAGAAGCACAAAGGTTTAGGGGCAAAAGCAGCCATCATAACTGGCCAAGTGCCACCATCATTGCCACTTGGAGTTCTGGAAAAGCACAGGGCAGTAATTACATAACAAACAAAGCCTGTCTCAAGCTGTGAATTAATCAAACTGCTGAAAATAAAACCTTCCTCTCAGGAACTTCAGACAAAAGAAATGAAAACAACAGGGCTGGCTGGGTAATGAAAAGCCAGCACACTGAATGGGGGACAAAAGGAAGTTGAACAATAGGGTGTTGGACAAAAGCAATAAAGTAAAGGGAAGTGTGACAGCTGAACAATGAGGCACTGTGCACGCCAGAGTTTCTGATCTTAGCAGGCTTTTTTATCTCAGTTCCCTGCCCTTCTATGAACAAATAATTGTGCTTTTCAGGCTATTGGGTTTCCTTTGCCATTTGCTTTTTGGCTCCTGCAGCCATTCCGGTTAGAAGCCTATGCTTTTGCATTTTCAGTCCTGTGTGCCCCTATCCATGCTGCAGTCCACCATTGACCAAACAGATTCATCTTAGGAGGATAAAAGGCATCCATGTGTTAGGGAGGCACACAGATAAGTGACGGTAACTCACCCTCCCCCCAACATACATCCAATAAGACATGCCAGTTGATTACTATAGCCTTTAGCTCTCTCTTGCTCTCCTTTTCTCTCTGGATGATAACAATATAGGTCTTTCTGCCTGTGGCATGATACTGTCAAAGGAGAGAATCTTGATCTTTATTTGTCCCTTTGTTTTACCTTGTGCTCAATAGACATGGCTGAGAGGATACAAGCATGGATTTTCTTGATGCAAAACAAGAGCACTTCCAACCAGAGGATTTTTTGTGGGGTTGTTGTTTTAATTGGTGGGTACCCAGAATGTTTAGACAGCACATCCAAATCCAAACAGCCAAATAATACAATAAAATTGCTATATGGCTTCCATGATGATTCCACAACTAAATAATATTGACTATGTAGTTACAGTACTTTCTGTGAAGTATTTTGCTTGTTTTTAATCTATGTCCATATGCACACTTCCCATCTTTCTGTGTACAATGGAGTTTACTTCAAATTACATGGGCTGAACCTGCACATGCATAAGAGGACATAAATATATAAGGGAAAATGATTAAAGTTTAAAAGTTTAAAGAACAAAAGCAAAATAGTCTATTTATGATCATGGTAGAAACAAGGATGTTGTGTAAGAACAGAAAGATATGGGAAAATGTCACATGCACCCATCTTTATTAAAAAGGAGAAGAGCAACACATCTATCTGAAGAACACCTAGCAATGCAGGAATCAGCCATCTAGATAATCTCATTGATGGATAACACTGGAGGTGAGATTAAGCATTCATTTTCATAATCACCACAGGAGAACTAATAAGGAAATTTTGTAACAAAATATATTCTATATATACTCAATGTTAATCTTATTGTGGCCTTAAATTAGCTGTTTTTTAAAAAAAACAAAACTTGAGAATAATATCTCAAGTTCTTGCCATAGGATTTACTGCAATTTGGGGTTGTTGGGTTTTTTTGCTTCCAGCATACAATTTTTTGAAGTGAGGTATCAATAAAAGTGAACTATATGAGGACTAACAGAACCATGTTACTTAAGGAAGCATAACATTTATAGATTTATAAAGCTACGCAAAAGAACTTGTTCACTATAATGTCAGTCCAAAAGGAGGAGGAATCAAGTTTATGTGCATATAGCACATATGTTTCTAGTACAGTCCTCGTCAACAGTGGTAATATTCATTAGTTCATTATGGTCATTCAGAATGGAATTGCTTCCTTAAAACACAGTGTTGCCCAAAGCATAGGCTATGGTTGTACAGAATGAGGTTCATGGAAGTTATACCGTAATCCAATATATCTGGAAAGTGACAAGCTGAGAAAAGTCAAAGCAAGGAGCATTAACATCTTTTCTTGGTCTGATATATGATGGCAGAGTATAAGTTTTGTCGTGCATTTTCAACCAGCTATGGGAACTTTAACTGGATCCCAGTGGTGTTTTTTTATTAGACTAAAAGATTTTAAATTGCATTTACAGGTATCTAGTAAGTCAAATGCCTGGCTAAATATATTTCATATTATAATCAAAATATAATAAAAATATAGAAACTGGATTGCCAAGAAAGGAGGATATAACTGATACAAATCTACAAAGGTTAGGCTCTTTCATCATACCCAGAGATATTTAAACAGATAGGGCAAATATCAACTCAGAGACACTGAGAAAAAGGAACTATATTGAGATATAATTGCAGGAATTGACTGAAATGATAAAAACATATTGGTAAAGACTTGTGCACCTATATATTCTTCCTGTTAGGCATCAACTTTATGACCCCTGCCCTCTTTTTTAAAGGTTGCTTTATTTTTAACTTGATTTGGCTTAAATAAAGGATCCCTTTAAATAGAGCTCTCTCCTCTAAAGTAGGACACCTGCACATCCCAGTGTTTAAATTGAGCATATTGTCTTGAATATTTCCTCCTACCTCTGGCCCAGATGCATCATTACCAGATATTTCAATGGTTTTATATGTCAAGGCAAGGGTCTGTTAACAAGGGGTCCTAGCTACATTTGCAAGCACTCTGTATTTGTTGCTTTGACACCTCAATGTTGCAAACAACGGGAATAAAACTGAGCTTTAGGAGATGCACCTTTCTCTCCCAGATGCAAGAAATGTTAGCAGGGCAGACTGCTCCACACTGCAGTAAACTGTACATGCAGAGCCTCAGGACACCTTCCTCAAGTTATCATACCATTCGTTTTACAGAACAACTCAAAGGGTTTGCAGAAGGTCAGCATGAGAGAAATGTAAAAAGGGTCTTCAGGGCACCCTGTCCTGCAAAAATACAATGAGCAGAGATGAAAATGAATTGAACATAAAGAAGCTTGTGCTTTCATCCCAGTCCTTATTACTTCAGAAACCCTGTTGAATGCATAACCCCATTATGCCAAGGGGGAAAGAAAGCCATATTCTTGTTTGCAGGTCTTGCTTGCTCGCTCACTGGTATGTAGCCATGTAAGGGGACTGCATTGTCATCCAGACAATGGGGGAATCAAGAACAATCAGCTGGTGGTGAGCTGAAAATGTATTCATTTTAAAAGAGCACACAAAAGGAAAGTTTCAATCCTCCAGTGGGTCAGATTTCTATTGTACTTAACATTTGTACTACTGGAAGTTTACTCTTAAAATGGGCTTGCTGCTTTAATAGGTGTGTGTTTGAAAGGAGGCTCATTGTATTTTTATTACATGGTTTGCCGAACAAAAATACAGCCAGTTATACTTGTTACAAGGCTTTTTCCAGCAATAGGTCCATTCCCTATTCTAATAGTATCAGGTAGTTATCACAAAAGGGACGGGAGGGGGAAGAATTGCTCAGAACAGCAAACAATGGGAATGGGGACAATTGGCCCTGGCACATGGAAAATGTCTTCCTGTAATAGGCCCTTTTTAATGTTTCTTTTTTTTTCACTGAAAGGGGGGGGGGGAGCAGAGCTCAAAGTCTTCTAATGTACCAGACAAAGGGAAAGGATGTAGCTGAGGCTGAGACTTTTCTTAACAAGATTAAAAAAGAATTTGACACTTGTGTGGATAATAAAACAAGCCAAACAGTAAAGTACTCAAGACAGCAACATAACAGATTTTTTTTCATGCTATTAATTAGTTGACATTTGTATAGCTTTGATATGTAAAAGGTTTCTATGATCAGCAATCATTTTTTTCGTTTTGACAAAAATACTATATCATCGTAATAATTTTTTTACTTTACAAACTGGATGATGAGAGTTAAAACGGTACATTTAAGGGTCCATCATACGAAGCCCTAAAACACAGTTTAAAAATCACACAGCATGTTTAGCCAAAACGAATATACATTACAGTTCAATGTGAACTGTGAACTTAGCTAATTACTTTCCAGACAGAGCACAGGAAGCTGCCTATACTAAGTAG